TATATCCATTATCCTGAGGATTGTTAGTTGCCCACAGTTCCTAAGCTGTGAAATAACTAATGAGATGTATTCTCTTATAGTGTTTTCTCTTGGGATTTAATTGAAGTATGGAAATTCAGAGGCTGCATATTTCTGCCCAAACAAGTGGTAATGGAGTACCTTGTAACCCAGGATATAGTGTAATTAATACAAGAACGCCACATTTCCACATGAGTTATTTCAGTAAAACCTTTGAAAAGTATTTCAAAAGCACATTCTCTTTTATCAGACTGAAAGTCAATAAAATACTTAAGGTTGACCATGGAAACTAACTAGAAGTCAACATTTACTAATTTTCCCAGGTTATGTAAGTATATATAGGAGAGGACTATGTACTGTATACCATATAAAAACTAACTCATTAATACATAATCTGTAGGGGGGAAAGCCTTCAACTAACATGAACAAAACTTATACAAAGCCATTAGTTGCTCTCTATGCAATCTACTTTTTATGGTTGATCAGAATTACATTACTATTTTGCTAATGCTCCTAGCAGTGGTATCAATACTCTAACGTCAGTATCCAGGAGAGAAACAACCATATTGTAGAGCAGGGGTCTTCAAACTTGGCCCTTTAATGACTTGTGGACTTCAACTCCCAGAATTCCTCAGCCAGCGTGCTTGGCTGAGGAATTCTGGGAGTTGAAGTCGACAAGTCATAAAAGGGCCAAGTTTGAAGACCCCTGTTGTAGAGGGAACAGGTTTTAATGCCTCAACCCTCCCCCAGCCAACTTTTTTACAATAAAAAAGAATTTTGATCAGCATTCCAAAATGCATTTTAATTGTCCAATCACAGAATACGGACTCAAAACCCTGTACCATGGCAGAAAAATCAGAGCCATGTAGTTTCCCTGGCATATACTACAAACTGATTTAAATATAGTTTTCATAGTATTTATTACATCATATCAATTATTGTAGCTGCCCCTTCAAATATGACACCCTGGATGGCTCTAAAACAGCAAAACAATTCAAAAACAATTTAAGAATAAAAATATAAAAAAGAATTGTAAAATCCATAGTCAAGGTATCCTCACACCCATCAATAACACTGAATACAACCAGTATGGAGTCTACAGATGGGTATTATCATCTTTTTTTTCAATTTATAGTCAGCATCCACTTGCCTCTCTCAGCAGATTCAACATAGTTGTTACCAAAGATTAAAGTCAAATAACTATTTTGGAATATTTTATACCAGGAAATTTCCAGGTACAGAAATACACGACTTAAAACATCAGCATAGGAGGATGCATCAGATAAGCTATGATTTGGTTTGTTTAGGTGTTGTTAGTGTATATTATGCTCAGTAGGTTCAGTAAATAATAATAATAATAGTAAAGTTGGAAGGGACCTTGGAGGTCATCTAGTCCAACCCCCTGCTCAGGCAGGAAACCCTATACCATTTCGGACAAATGGCTGTCCAGTCTCTTCTTAAAAACCTCCAGTGTTGGAGCATTCACCGCTTCTGGAGGCAGGTTGTTCCACTGGTTAATTGTTCTAACTGTCAGGAAGTTTCTNGAGATATTGGAACACTGCTATCATGTCCCCCCTCGTCCTTCTCTTCATTAAACTAGACATACCCAATTCCAGCAGCCTTTCCTTATGTTTTAGCCTCCAGTCCCCTAATCATCTTTGTTGCTCTTCTCTGAACTCTTTATAGAGTCTCAGCATCTTTTTTATTTCGTGGTGACCAAAACTGGATGCAGTATTCCAAGTGTGGCCTTACCAAGGCATGGCTTATTTAGTGAACTGTGGTTAAACAAGCAGAGTGTGCTATATGAACACAACCTTTGCATAGACCAGATATGTATCACACTAGCATTGGAAACGCCCAGTTAATGCTGCTGTAACAGTCACCAAATGATGCATCCAAGGAGGAAGCCAATTGTTCAAACTTAATAAATATTAAGTTTAGAATCTAAAATCTTGTTGTTCCCCAAGAAAAGCGCTTCCCTTTCACAAATGCCTTTGGCTGAGCCTGCCCTCCTTGATCTCAACAGCTGCCTTTGTAGGTAGGTAGTCTTGAAACATGCATAGCTCAGGAAAAGCAACCTTTTCTCTTACTGCTGTTTCGAACTAACAAAATTAGCTGTCTGTTGTGTGAGAAAGAACAATGACTCAAGCTCAGAAAGGAAGGTTAAGTGACAGGTGTGGGGGTGAGAGGAAAAACTGATACAAAATGAGATGAAATATACAATAGGAACAAATAAGGAGGGGCCTGGGAAGATTCAGAAACATTAAAAAAAAGACCTGAAAACATGAAGTTCAGTGAAGAGTACAAAAGAGAGATTCAGAGACAAAAGCCTACAGGTGACAATATACACTCTCAACATTACAAAACATGACATCTAAAGTTCAGTGACTAATATTACAAATTAAGCTCTCCTGCAAGCCTCCTTTACAGCTTCTTTGCAGTTACCATTCCCCACTCTCCAATTTTCTCTAATGATTCATGCCAATAGGGACTAATTTCTATATGGATTTTAGCAGTTGGGGAAAAGGACGTCATCAAGCAACTTTTGGATCCATCTCTAATATTCCAATTCCAACCAGATCAGCATTTCTAAAAAAAAATGCTGTTGTTGGGAAAGGTGTAACGATATCTTAAAAGATCTGTGGCTCTAGAATGAACAATTCAACCATAACTAGCCATAACTCAATGCAGTGGTTGTTTTGTTACCACTTGGCAACAATGGACAGAAACTCTTTACGAGTCCATATATATAAATTAAGGTGTGCATCAAAGATAAATCTTAAAAACAGTTCTAACTGAAACAGAGTTCATCTTAAATGAACCGAACCAAATACAGGCCTCTGTCATCTTGGTTAAGGATAAGAATGGCAGTGTCCTGATTCACACAATATAGGAAATGCACAATTAGTTTACTGGATTGAGGCTTAAAATTTTTGGTGAATCCAATCATTGTGATTTATGAACCAGTTTATGACTTAGTATTGAATAAAACCCAATGAATCATGGCATACTCCATAAACCATGAATAGTCTTCAACTTATGACTGTAATTAAGCCCATAATACTGATTTATAAGTAATGACAATCAAAAAGCAGACCCAGATTTTACAACAGTTTTTGTGGCATTTATTAAGCAAATGCCATGGTCATTAAGCAAGCCCATTGTTTGCTATGCGGTGGTTTTTGTTAGAAATGTGAAGTAAACATTGGTTTCCATCATGTGAGCATAGGGCACTACAAACAGCAGTGAATTGTGGGCAGATAGTCACTAAGTGCCCCAAAAGTGGTCATGTGACGTGTGTGCGTGCACGTCAGAACTTCAAATCAAGGTGTTGTATTTTCGAATGGTTGCTAAGCAACCAGTTGTAAGTCAAGGACTACTTGTAAGGTAAAGCATTATGCACAACCGTATCATGAACATTTACCATCACTCTTAAAATTTCATTTTTTGTGACTTGGTTGCCCACTGACTAAAATATAAAATGTTACGTTTTCTTGCAACTGTCCAAACCTTTCATTTTTTATTTCTTGACACAACTATGATGCATATATTGTCTAAATACATATTTGAGGAAGGAAATGAGAAGGATAAAAAGCACTCTCTCTCCCACCCTTTCCATTGCATTTAAATGTTTAAAATATTGTGGGATTATATAATTTCTATACTGTTCTGACATGCTCTTCTTAACTGCTCAAAAAACCAAAATCAACTAAGCAAACCCTCAAAGTCTAAAGCCTGTTTCAAAACTCATTCTGTCAAGCAGTAATTTGTAATGTCCATTAAAATACCACCATTTAAAGGCACAAAGCACAAACACCAGCACTTTTAATTATTTATGGAAATCAAACATTGTAGTAGTATGAAGCTTGCCTGATTTCAAACAATGTCAAGATCAGAAACCTTTCATCTCTTGCAATAGAAAAAAAAGTTGAAATTTGTGTGAAGACGATTTGCCTTACGTACAGAAATCAGTCGAAATACTTGGTTTATATACACATCACTAAGGCATAATCAGCAGGTTCACACATTATATGAAGCATGAATCAGGCCAAACATATGCAGTTTAACTCTACTTAAAGGTAGATTCCAACTGAGCTCAACTTTATGAAAATGCCTGTCTTATGACAGCTGTAATGGAGTTGGTTTGCTACTGCTTTCTTCTGGAATATTTTTTTTTGGCTTTGTATTCTAGTCCCCACCCTAACATTTCCTGGGAATCTCCCATTAAAGTACTAACCTCAGTTAACTTTGAGGTAAGTTAATACATGCTGCCACTTTTGGCTTGGCTTAGTTTGTCTGAATGTTACTACAAAGGAGAGGAATCTTGTCTCCAGATGGCCTATCAATCAATGCTGTCACATTTGATACCAAGCATAATAGATGTACGTGATCTGTTCTTTGATTAGTTAACACTTTCTCACAGTTGCTAACTTATAATAACACATATATCTTATCCACATTTTTTCTTAAATTAGAAAATGTATTCATTTTCTCAGGGTTTGTTTCTACCTGTCAGTCTCATTCCATTGTGTTAAAGACTTAAAAAAACACATAGAGCTATTTGTGAGTTTTTCATGTTCATCAGTTTTTCATGTTTTTTGAGTACAGAATACAAGTGGACAATCTTCCATTTAGTAGTTCTCAAGTCAGATTTTTACTAACACTTGTGATTTGAATTTCAGGGTCAACATAGAAGCCTAATCCATACTACTAGGACTCCCCGACATTGGTTGAATAAGGAAGAGAGAGGGGAGATATTTTTAGTAGTTTGTGGAAACAACAGAAAGTCATAGTGCCAAATCATTAAGAGTGGAGAGTATCTTATTAGCAAACCAAGAAAAGAATTTGAGAAATATGCTACTTGTCAATATGCTAATTTAAACAGAAACAGCATTTTTTTTTAATAAACTTCACATTCTTTGGATTTATAATTCCAGTATTTTCTTTCTTTAGAGTATTTTTAATTCAGAAGGCACTGGGGATTAATTGTAAGAATATTCCTGTTTATTTATAAAAACTAACTGCAGGGTATTAACATACGAGTAATTCATGGTTCACAGAAAAATAGCTGTCTCTTAGGTGATAGTTTCTGCCCATAATTAATTGTATGCTGAATTATAACATAAATAGGAATACAGAACTTTCAATTCAGAAATAATAATTTTGAATATGCAAACAAGTACTTCAGTCCTTTTCAAGGTATTTTATTTTGTTCATACACACTATGCCATGAATTCATAAGGAATTGGTTCCAGCAACTCTGGCTCTTTGCCATTAGTTCTAACAAAGTGAGCTTCTCTTGGAGGTGCAGGCTGTAAACAAGAATACAAAAGAAGTGTGAGTTACAATAGTGCGAAATGTACCAAAAAAGCTTTTTTACAGAGCACTTAATAATTAGGTCACTTGTCTTTCCTCAAAATTAGGAATGTGTCTTAAGAGCAAAGATAAACAAATAGTCTTTTTAAGCTAGTCAAATTAAGCTAATTCTTTTAATAAGGTGACTGACAACTCTAAAATCAATTTTTTTTACTCTTCATGCTTCCTTTGATCTTTTTCAGATTTAGCTTGTTATGACAGTAGACAATAGATTAAATTGCAGTAACAGTAACATTTAAACACTAAATACTATATAAACTAAACACAGAATATTTTATTTACAGGTAGTTCCCAACTTACGACCAGACACTTAATGACCATTCCAAGCTACAACAAAATCCTCGCCAGAGCTACTTATGATCTGCTTTTGAAGTGATGATGGCACACACATTCCGGTCACAACAGCACTTTGGACAGTTGATAACTGGTTCATAATTACATCCATTTACAGCATCCCATAGTCACCTACCACAAATTGCAACATTTTTGCTGGTTTCTAGCAAAAAAATGCCCATTGGGGAAAACTGATTTGCTTAACAACTGTGATATTAGCTTAACAACCATGGAATTTATTTAAACATCAGGTCTGGTTATATCTGACTAATGACTGTATTTTCCAACAGGGATACACACACACACACACACACATATACATATATATACACATATACATACACACACACACACACATACATATATCAGATAATATAACTTTTTGGTCTTGTTACAAATTTAAACAACTCTCAATATTTTTGCCTAGTTACATACCAGGTGTTTCTCAAAGGAACTTAGATTTGCTTTAGTACCGACTACTTAAGACATATTCTCAGTGTTACCTGGCGTTTTAACTCAAACCAAGTGCCCTTTTCTTTTGCTTCCTTTTTCTTTCTTTCATTTTCCTTCACACGCTGCAAAAAACTGTCTCTGCTCTTGGAATGCTTAATGTGTTCAATGCGCACATTGATTCTCTTAGCAAGGATCTTGCCTCTAGGAGAAAAAAGATATGGGCACAGTCAGAGTTTTAGTATTTTTTCTTTTTTAATAACCAAAGCCGCCCTGAGTCCCGTTGGGAGAAGGGCGGGATATAAATCAAATCAAATAAAATAAATAAAACTAGATCAGTAAGAACAAGTCAGCATGGTTCTATTGTCTTGACATTCCCAAACTATATTTTGTTGCAGAAGAGATTCAGCGTCTGTTTCCTCTGACAGGATCCAAGCCAATTAAATATAATCTGGCTGGGTTTTAAAAGGATAATTGCTGTAACCCCCTCTGAATGACCAATTAAGACAAGAAATGTCTAATTGGTAAAGTGAAGGGGGAAACAGACACATTTTAACATAATAATATTCAGTAATGAGGAATAAAGTCAAAAACAAGGAATGCACTTACTTAACCTTCTTGTTCACAATAATGCCCACAGCATGCTGAGTAATGTTATATACTCTTCCAGTCTTGCCATGGTAACATTTGTGGGGCATGCCTTTTTGAACTGTCCCTGTGCCCTGTTAGTACAGAAAGTTACACCATGAATAGTTATAAATAAAAATGCCTGGGAATGTTTACTGAAAATATCTTAGGAAAGGACATCAATGAATTATTTACAATTGAATGCCTATGTTCTTAAATTCATGAATATAATTGCTGCTCTGCCCCCACAGTATAAGCTTTTCTAGTCAAACCAGAACAAACTTACTGTCTAGGTAACCTACTCAGCTACTATTTTCCGTTTTCACTGAACCCCAATCTTCCAGTAATTTTATTGAACAGCCACCAAATTGTGAATGGTATGGGCCCATTATGAGCCCAATGAATCATACATAGCTTACTAATCGCTATATCAAATCTTTATTACATTATAAACCCGCATAAACCCCTATCATAATTTTATTACTTTATCTGAAGGCCTATGTTTCATGGAGAGCTAGATAATGTCTCTGGTTTGCTTTCAGTGCCGGTGAAATGTTTTGCTCAGTTTGCTTTAGTTATTACAAAGCAATCATAGGAGAGAGTCATCATCAAGCACCAGAGCATTAAAATAATGTAATGTAACATTACAAAATCAGACACTCAAATTAGGCTTTGCACAAAGAATTCAGCAAAAGTTTAACACAGACCATTTGATTAAACTTACACATTAGGAAAAAATATCACTAGTGTTTTTCAAGAACCAAAACTATATCCAATCTTAAGTGAAGTACTGCACTTACCACATAATTTTTACTTTTAAAAATTGCATCTTTTTATATTTTTATTAAATAAGACAAACATTAATACAACAAATTAAATATTAAAGATACAACAAGCATGCACAAAGTTCAGCAATATAATTTCAAGACAACTGTTTACCCTTTTATATTATGGTGTTTTACACTTTTATTTTAATAAAGTAATAAGAGCTCTGTAGCCTAATTTTAGTTTCAGGAAAGTAATTTTTAAAGAAACATACCTTAATATCAACAATATCACCCTTCTTATAGATTCGCATGTAGGTAGCAAGAGGGACAACACCTGTTTTTTTAAAAAATGTAACAATTACTTATATTTAATTAATTTCATGCATTTTAATACCCCAATCCCTTATTAAAGATTAAAAATAGAATTAAAGAATCTTTCCCCCAATAATGATCAACAGTAGGCATTAGACAAACTTAATGGTGAACTTTAAATTATGTGATATTGATATTCCTTTAACTATAATGCAGGTTATATAATCCACACTGGCAGGGATTCAACCAACATTTTTATTTCCATCATTTTATTAAATTTAACTGGCTCAATAAATATTACTTACCATGTTTGCGAAAGGGTCTTGAGAACATGTAACGGGTCCCTCTCCTCTTTCCTTTTGTGTTTGTCATCTTGACTGATCACTAAGAATAATCAATATATAACAATTCAGAAAAAAGAAATATAAAGATAACTGTTAAATTTAAATGGAATTTCTAGTAAATACTAAAATAGTGGTGCTTCCTTGTTACTGCACACGACTATAATCAATAGAATTTGTCAGAAAAAATATTTTTAGCTCTTGAATCTTGTTAAATTAGATTGAGCATGGTAATATGTATATGAAATGAGCAAGCCCTGCCAAAATACAATTTTCACACAACATCCTTTAAGACTCTGTTAAATTCTTATATGCTTGATTGGGCAATTTTTTAATGGTTTTCTCAGAAGGCAGGAAGAAAGACTATTGTAAAGTCAGACTTACACTCTTATTTACTCAGCTAAGATAGACGTACTATACACATGGGATTTGCTTGTGACAGCCAACACTAGATCAACCTTCCCTTATTCAATACCCTGGACATTTGTTGTCCTGTCCCCAGCAGACAGGATGGAGTAGCCTAGTATACAAAGCAAGTGTCTCAAATGTTAACAACCTGTTCAAACTACACTGTTCAAAATTTAATTCTTTCCATCCCAAATTATCCAATTCAATAATTTGAAAGAGCACAAAGTTTAATAAAATGCAAGTATGGAAAAAGTTTTTGTTTTAATAATCTGTGTTCAATAATTTGAAAGATCACAAAGTTTAATAAAATGCAAGTATGGAAAAAGTTGTTGTTTTAGTAATCTAACTGTAGTTACTTTGATGTACACCATAATTGTATTAATAATTAGGACTCAACTGAATGCAACAAGAGCAAAGTATTTCTGAAATTAAAACAGCAATGTCCATTCCAATGTCAGACTACAAGCAAAGGATTGCAAATGTAGCCTCTACCTTAAGAAGAGGGAGCCTTTAGGTCCTAGAAAAACACTACAAAGATCTGAGCTTTGTCTTTTCGGAATGTGATAACCTACGGCATGTAAATTTCCTCTTGTAACCTCTCCCCACACTACTGTAACTCAATCCAGAAGAAACCAAATGCCTTTTTATATTAGCAAAAGAACGTTAACTACAAGCCACGCAAAAGATCGCGGATTTAAGCGTTAAGTACCTCCATATTTTTAGTCTAATTTTTTAAAAAAGTTAAACAGATGTGACAGGTGTGACTTCCCAAGACCTAGTACAGTGATGGCAAACCTTTTAGAGACTGAGTGCCCAAATTGCAACCCAAAACCCACTTACGCATCGTTGAGTGCCGGGTGGGTGTGGCCCATTGGCTGGGTGTGGCCAATTGGGTGGGCATGGCTGCGATGATAACAGCAGACTGGGTGGAACTAAAAAGTTCAATCAATCAATTCCAACTTTGCAAGAACTTTTTTTTTTCCTGTGAGAAGTTGAAATTGACTGATTGAACCTTTTTTTTTTTTTTGCACATGGTGGCGGAGGCCTAAAGTGAAAAGGTTTTATAAAACCCAGCTGAAGGTCTAGGACTGGGGCGACGACGCGGGTGCCCACAGAGAGGGCTCTGAGTGCCGCCTCTGGCACCCGTGCCATAGGTTCGCCACCACTGACCTAGTATAATGTCTTCTGCGTATCGAACAGGAATACTCTCCAACTGATGGCCTCCCAAATAAGCCACATCTCAACTTATCTGGTAGGCACCAAGTTGCAGTGTTTCTCAACCTTGACCATTTTAAGGCACGTGGACTTCAACTCCCAGAATTCCACAGCCAGCGTTGCTGGCTGTGGAATTCTGGGAGTTGAAGTCCACATGCCTTAAAATGGTCAAGGTTGAGAAACACTGGCTTAGAGAAACCTAGATTAAACTTCTTGGAAAAAAAATATACGCAACCCTACCCTGCCAGATCGCAGACTGACTCAGTAAACCGATCACGCCCATGTAGATTTTTGTGATTTCTAACTCGCAAGGCTGCAAGGGAACATCTCTTTTCCCCCCCCCCTCCCCACTGCTCCGGGCCCC